TGGTCAAACCCGGCGCCGCGGGGCTGCAGGGACCCCCGGGGAAACCTGGGGCGCTCGGTCCCCCTGGACAGCCAGGACTTCAGGGGCCGCCCGGCCCACCCGGGCCCCCAGGTCCCCCGGTCATCATCCCACCCACTCCGCCGGCCGTGGGACAGTACCTGCCCGAGGTGGGGCCAATAGACGGCGTCAAGCCCCCCTACGGCTACAAGGGCAAGAAAGGCAAGGCTGGCGGCGCCGTCTACGAGATGCCCGCATTCACGGCGGAGCTTCTCACCCCCTTCCCCCGGGTCGGGGTGCCCGTGAAGTTCGACAAACTCCTCTACAACGGCCGGCAGAACTACAACCCCCAGACAGGGATCTTCACCTGCGAGATCCCTGGCGTCTACTACTTCGCCTACCACGTCCACTGTAAAGGGGCCAGCGTCTGGGTGGCGTTGTTCAAGAACAACGAGCCACTGATGTACACCTACGACGAGTACAAGAAGGGCTTCCTGGACCAGGCTTCGGGCAGCGCCGTCGTCCAGCTGATGCCCGGAGACAAGGTTTACGTTCAAATGCCATCCGAGCAGGCGGCAGGACTCTATGCCGGGCAGTACGTTCATTCATCTTTTTCAGGATATTTATTGTATCCCATGTAAAACAAAAACCAGACACACACACACACACACACAAAATCAAAACCTTTCTTCTCTGCTTCAAACTTTTATACCATGAAAGATGCATTTTATGACCATTTCAGACCATCTTGTACAAAAATAAATAAATAAATACAAAGTTTAACATTATGCACAGCTAGTTATAAAAAAAAAAGGTGTGGTGAACATATCTAAAGATGTGTATCAGGTTCATAAACAGATGTTTTGCACCCAAGGGGGACATATTAGCTGTACATTATATATTTCTGTGATGCCATGCTTACTTCATTTCGTTCACAATAATTCAGTACTAAGGTTCAAATCAGTGTACGTCACTCACTCCTGTTGCATTGATCATAGTTAGGAGGTCAAAAACAGTGACTTAAACCAGAGCAGGTCAGTCTCAAAGTACATGAAAAAAATTGAGTGGCTTTTTATTTGTTTGGGTGGGGTTTTTTTGGTTTTTTTTTGACAGCAGGTCTGCCTGACAAGCAAAGGTTCTCTTAGCTGGAAACCTCTATTTCCCTTTGCCCTATATAAAATAATCCTGCAGGTGTGTTTTTTTCCTGAACAACTTATTTATGATGGAAAAGGAGTAGTAATGGTGTAACTATCTCACACGAGCCTTCTCCAGCAGTTGTTAGGCTCAGAATGCCGCCACTGTCTCCAGCAGGCACTGGGTTCACCTCCGAGTGCCACAGCACTTGAAAAGCCTCCATCTGCAATTTGCACAGTGGAAGCTGATAAGGCAGCTCAGAGACAAAAATGAAGGGTTCCCCCTTTGCTTTGTACCAAAGGATTGCGACATTTTGGCCAACGCATGGCAATCCAGCAGGGAGGATTAAATTCGCTTGGATTTCTGAGCTTGTGCTAAGAACCTGTGCCTGTTCGGCTTGTCAGAGGAGATGCCTATTCTGCCACTCAGCGAAAGTTATATCAGTTTACTCTCCAATGACTAGGCAAAGCAGAAGTAGCTCTGTTTGCTAATTAACTGATTTGTTGTTTGAGATCAACCAATAACTGTACCAGCAATACTGATCACACAAATTTATCCAACACCTTCATTTTATATAAAAGCTGATTTCCAATCCTTATTTATGTGTTAGCGATTGTCAAGGAGAACCTGCAGGCCTCGCTCTTTTCTGTACACGAGGAAAGCAACTTCTCTGCAAGAGCTGTCTGTTCATCAGTGGTGCTAATCTCACCTCAAAAGTATCAGTTTCCAAGGGCAGTGTACTTTGCTGTGATTCCCTGTACAGTGCTGCACATCACACACTGTTACGCTAGTTGAAAGAGTTAAATACTCATCACTTCTTCAGTGTCTTTAGCTAACGCTACCGCTTTTGATTCAAAAATGAACTAGATTTTTCATGCAGAACTAAGATTGGATTTAACTGGCATTACCATTATTTAAATGCAGAGTTTAATGCAGTCTAACATTGACTAAGGACTCCAGTGATATAATGTGGTGCTTTATCTCAGAAATTTTATGGAACGGTGGCAGGAACAGACGGACAGTTTACCAGGCATTGGTGACTTCGGTATGTTCCCAGAATATATGAGATATGTCAAAAGCAAATAATTTTGTATTTAAAATTTTTGTACTGATTTGAAAAAAATATCTTATTAAATATCTTTAAAAATAATAATAATAATTCTGTCTTCATTCAGCAGAAATATTAGAAGGAACATTCAACCCGCTGAATTCAGCTATCAGACCACAAGGACTCTCTGAAACCACCGACAGCCTGATACCAGAAAAAACGCAATACTCTCTTCTTTAGTTCCCGTCTATGGGGAAAACCTGCCCTAAGCCACGGGGGGGGGTGAGGAGAGCACTGTCCTGCCATCATGTTGAGTGGGAGACAGTGACTGGGGGCGGCACGCAGAATGAGGGGTCCTGCAGGTGGCCATTAGGACAAGGCCTGCTCAGCACCAGCTGACGCAGGAGCAGAGCTTAGACAGGCAGAGGGGCAGCGCAGGGGAAGCCGAGACACGGGGCAACACGGAGGCGCAATGTTGAGGGTTTGTGCTTGTCGAAAAAGCCAGAGCTGGCTGCCCCAGCTGGGACATGCACACCACATCCCTGGCTCTCGCTGTGATTTGAAGACAGTTTTTCCCATTCCTCCCCCTCCCCATTTTTTCCACCTGCAGCAAAAACCTAGTGCGAAAGCGGCAACATATTTGTCATGGATCTACATCATTATTCAACTATGGCTCCACTGCAGGTGGTAAATTATACCCCACAGTGTGGCTCCCCTGACCTCACCTCAAAGGCAGGTGTTTCCTCCAGGCTGGTGAACTCCTAAACTGTCCATACTAAAATAAATGCACTGAATACTCACTAGTGTCAGGTAATCATTTTCTAAACCTGCCTTAGATGCTCCCTGCTCCACAGCATCTCACTCTTACTGCACAAAAAAAGAAAACAAAACATGAGCAAATTATGGCAATCAGTGTCTCTCACTTTCTATCTAAAGTCTTTCAATCACACGCCATCATCTTAGTTACACAGCTTTGATTTTAGCATTCCCCTGAAAGTCCCCAATAAGACAGGCAAGATTAAAAAAACCATGAAAAATTCAAGTCAGGAGGATGCTGCTCTTGATCTTGTCCACAAAAACTACATCCCAGCTTTGCTTTTACTCAGCCTGCAGTGCTATTTCCACCCGCAGTACAGCTCAGCCTACCCAGGGTCAAAAACATTTTCAGCCCTGTTTGCTCTACTAAGCACCAAAGTTTGTTCTGGAACTCCATACCATATCTGACAACACTGTGTACTTCACACAGCATTAATAATGAATGGGACTGGGCACACAGGCGCATCCATACACACACACACGCAGAGCACCGACCTTACAAAAATAAGCCTGAGGGCACCGTCTTTAACACAATTTATTCACAGGAAAATAATCTCTTTTCATTTGTAGCATTCAAAATTTCACTTGAAACAACTGTAAGAACACCTTCAAAATACAGCTGGCACTTTAAAGGCATATAAAACTTAAGACAAATGGCAAATAAAATATATATTTACTGATACCAAAACCAGATGTTGAGCTTTGTATGTTCTTAAAAATCAGACTTCACTTAAAAGTGCCCTCCCAGGGCATTGTTAAAAAGGAAAGTGTGGCATAGGAAACAAGAGGTACCACACACTAATTATTAAACACCAAAGTTGTGATTCTGTATTATTATTGCCAATACAGTCACTGGAAATGTCATTTAGTGATATCTTTTAGGCACTCTCAGATCTGTATTTAGTGCAATAGTTTGTGACCTTCTTTCTTAAGTTGTATCTCCACACTTCCCTTAATTATTACAGCACAGGAAAAAAATACTTTCCCCAACAGAAAACAAACAAACAAAACCCCTAAAAGACTGAGCCAAACAGAGCTTCCAGCTGATGCGTGTCATCCTGCCTGGTTTGTGCGGACTTTGGTACCTTACAGCTGGGTCTTTCTGATGGTGCAGCATTTTGGGGGGGAGGTGGGGGTGCGGCAGACAAGATGCAGAAGCACCTTTGCTGTAAGATGCTGCTGTCTTGAAATTCAGCAGGCTGCTGGAGAAGAGGACACAGGAAGAAGTGATGAGACCATCTGACTTTGCAGTTGATACGGGAAGAAAATTCATGGGAGGCACTGGGTACCTATATAGTTACATCATTACCAGACATGGAAATAAAGCCCGCAGCATCCCATCCCGGGATTCAAAACTTGACAGCTTCACTGCTGACGATGTGATAAAAAAAACGGGTAGCTTTTAAAGGGAAGTTTCAGTGCAGAGACTTCACTTTCAGGAATGACAAAAATGGGAAAAGAAAACCTTAATAGCAGCTCCCTCGCAGAAAAGATCTAAGGTATTTAGAGTTCACATTATTGCTTTTGTCAAAAAGCCCCAAGGCAAGTCTTTGGTATTGCAAAATGCCTGTGAAAACGCATGCCCGGCTCGAACAGACACCGTGATCTGTGGGCATTACCGAGAAACGCGCTAGGTACAGCTATTCCTGCCTGCGTGAAGTTAGTGTAAAAGCGATACCTGTCCTCAAGGCAGAGTAGCAGAAAACGACTGTGTGAAGCAGGTGATGCAGCAGGGCTGGTGCACGCAGAATCCTACCAAAACATTTTACGGGAACAGAACTGATCGCTTAGCTCACGGATTATTGAAAAGAAAAGCTCCCAGCCTGTAAGCTGTGTTTTCAAAAACCCCAGTACCCTGTGGTTTACCAATGGTATCAACTATTGGCTCAGTCCCGAGTGAACAGGTCTGGCATTAAACGTTACTCAGCCACGCTGCGACAGCAACCTCAGCGCTAGCGGACTTAACAATCCTGCAGGAGCACAGAAGTGGGAGAAAAAAAAGTATCCCTGGGAGTACTGCTTAATTTCAGAAAGAAGTCAGGGAGGCTTATTAAGAACAAATAAAAAGGAGCAGCTGATAAGGATATGTGCTTGTAGACAGCATACTAATCAAACACATTATCCAAAAGAAAATTTAAAAATAAACAAAAAAAAAAAAAAAACAATCTTAGGGAGACCAAAAAAGCTGATGTGGTAAAAAAAAAAAAAATAAAGGCGTTTATTTTATGAAAAAAGAGTTTGGTGGATGCCATTTGTTTGCCATGAAGCCTTTTTTCTTATTATTTTGTTTGGATTGCAACTATAGCAGAACAACTCCCCCTCCTCCTCCCCCAAAAAAAGAAAAAAAAAAAAAGAAAAAAAGAAGTTTCCTAGGAAAATTAGGAGAAGGAATCAGTTTAGATTAGTGGGAAGAGGAACCAGAGCAGAGAAAATAACCGCATGCTCAGAAGCACAGCTCCCTCCTACCACAGGGGACAGGGGCGGGGAGGCAGAGAGAAGCAGCCTGCACCACGGCAAGAACCACGAACCGCAAGGAGAGGGAAAATCAACAGCTCTCCTGGAAAAAAGTCCTCGTGGTCAGCATACTGCGAGACATTACATGGATGCAGCTGGATCCATGGTGGCAGCCCAGCTCTGGGGGTGACCATGGGTTTCAAGGAGGAAGAGGCAGCCCTCCGCTTCTGCCTGGCTCTGCTCTCAACACAGTCTGAGACCTACCAAGGACTTCCGCGCAAGGAGAGCTCGGACAACACCACAAGCTTTGTGAAACACCTTACCTCAGCATTTTTTTCATGTGGAATTGCTATTGTCAGTAGTCTAAATCACTGCAGGTCTGAGGCTGCAAAGTCACATGCAAACCTCAAACCTTTTTAATTAACTTAAATAAACACAAGAACTAAATGCTGGTAGAACTAAAGACAGTAATGTCACTGTTTGCTGGTGCAAAACCCCACCCCTGTGCATTCAGGTTTTTGAGCAAAGACTTCCTCAAAAGCTCAGAAATGTGCATTTGTTTAAAAAAAAAAAAAAAAAAAGGAAATATGAATAACTGAGCAAGAGCCCTTCTGCCACCTTGTGAGGAAA